CTATAAACCTAAAAATTTACAGCCAATTTTGAAAGAGATGTATCTTAGCTCTGGAAATTGTTATTGAATATGTCAATGCTGTTGTAATGAAATGCTTCTTCTAATTATATCGTTATTAAATAATTTTAAAAAATTTATGGGCATAAGTGATAGTAAAAATTTGGTGGAGAACAAGTGAATGGAGGAGGAGGCAGCAGGCACAGGTAAAACTCTAAGTGGATAGAGCTTTATTTTGCATGGGATACGTTCCCCTCGGGTTAGGGAAAATGTCAGCCCATGGGTTGTGAGCTGGGGCTTACATACGGGGGCTTCAGGGTGCAGGGGTGGGTAGTTTTTGGGAAAAATCAAGCAGGGGTAAGCAGGAAAAGCAGGGTTTGTAAACCTGACTCCGTTCCGTCTGCCAGCCAGGATCTGGGTCAGGAAGTGTTTACTTTTTTGTCCTCTTAAGATAAGGGAAAAGTTGCTGTACTAAACAGCTCCTAAAATCTCTGGTTAACAGGCAGAATCTGCTCACCTAGTCTTTGGAGATCAGAGGAAAGGCAGGTTGCTTCTTAGAAGAGTATGCTTCCCTTGATTTCAAAGGCCAAGTGATCAGCTCAGTTCCCTTTTTCAGTCTTCAAAAATCCAAAGTCCATAGGTCCCTGTTGGGGAGCAGGGGGAGCTGCTGCTGTTTGAAACCCTAATAATAAGTGTATTGCCTGCATGTGTGTAAGTGCACCCGTGTCATGCAATGCCATGGAGTCAGAAGAGGGTGTTGGAACTGGAGTTATGGACAGTTGTTAGCTGCCATGTGGATGCTGGGAATCAAACCTGGTCCTCTGCAAGAGCAGCCTGTGAGCTGGAGCCTGAGGGAACTGGAGCCTGAGGAGCTAGAGCCTGAGAGAACTGGAACCTGAGGGAGCTGGAGCCTGAGGAGCTGGTTGCATAGCATCTGCCATGGGGAAGCAGAGATGAATGAATGCTATTCAGCTCACTTTCTCTGTTAATTCAGTCCAGGATCCCAGCTCTGGGAATATGTCTGCCTAGCTCAATTATCCTAATGAAGATAATTCCTCAAGGCATGCCCAGATGCTAACCTAAGCTAGACAATCCCCTCACAGGTGTAAACAGAGGCTAGCCTCCTAGGTAATTCCTGATCCCATCAAGTTGACAATATTAACCACCATACCTATAATCCTAAAAGATGGAAAAATCTCAAAGAAACGGATATCCTAGACACATATGATCTACCAGAATGAAATCAAGAATATGAAAACACACCTTTAATGAACAATGAAATTACAGCAGTAATAGTTTCCCAATAAAGCTCAGGACTGGACAGATTTATTGCCAAATTCCACCAGACTTTTACAAGAATATTCTTCTAAATAGCCTATAAAATAGAAGAGGAAGGAACACTATCAAACACATTCTATGAAGCCAGGCTTACCTCGATACCCAAACCAAATAAGGAAACAGCAAACAAGAAGAACAGAATCAAACCATTTCCCTTGGTGTACAGACACAACCATTTTCAATAAATATTTGCAATCCTATGGGCACCTATCTTTCTCAAAGTCATCCCAAACCAAGGCAATGCACTAAGATTTGGTATTTGTGAGAAAACAATAGAAATGTTGACAATCAGAATTAACCGTCAAGACTGACCATCACAGTTTCCTCATTCCACAAATCCAGAGAGACTGAGACTTCAGTCTTAAAGAGGGAAATACACCCTAAAACAATTTATAGACAACGCAATGCTTTTGGTCTTTTGCAGCAGTAGAAAAGCACATCCTAAAATTCAGAGACCCCGAATAACCAAAATAATCCTCATACCTCAGAGGTAGAAACAGAAGACATGAAAATTGTACACATACAAAGAAAACCAAGTCTCCCAAAATAAAAAAGGTGAAGCAGTCACACTTCCACTATCAAAATTTATTACAAAGCCATAATAAATCAAAATGGTGTGGTACCAACATATGGATAAAAATATAAATCAGTGGAAAAGAAGAATTCAGAACATTTGTGGTTATGAAAAAATGAAGTTTCCAAGGCTATTCAAAGGGGAATGTACACACTCTTAAACAACTGGTGTTGAGACCACTGGAAAGCTACATAGAAAGAAAGAAATTAGATCCCAACCTCATTCCATATACATAAGAACTCAAAATGAGTCAAAGATTTAAAAGCCAAAATACAAAAGTGCTAGAAGGAAATATATGGGGAAATCTTCAAGATAAATTGGATTTCATCAAGATCTAAAATTTCTGTGCATCAAAAAATATTATGGAGAGAAAACATAATCATAGAAAATGGACAGCATAGACCTTAATAAATAAAGCCTCAGTACAGCAGTTTCTCAACACACTGAACTATAGCATTACTCGGCAATTCTAAGAACATACACAAAAGAACTGAAAACAGGTATTTAAACAAAAACTTGATACTGGGCACGGTGGCTTTAATCACAGGCTGAGGCAGGGAAGATCTCAGGTGCCAGTCAGGGCAACACAGTGAGACTCTCAAAAATAAAAATAAAATAAAATTTGCACATAAATGCACAAAGTAGCACTACTTAAATATTTTTGGTACCTCAGTTTCTGCATGTTAACATGGGGATAATAAAAATGGCTATGAGACTTAAGTGAGAAAATATGTAGAAAGCATTTAGAATTCCACGGATATTAGCAAATATGGGTCTTTTTTTTCCTTACTTGAAATTTCTTCTGGGCTTGTGATTTCAATACTTCTTTCCCATATTTGTGATGCTTACAAACTATACATCATTTGAAAACAGAATTTGAAAAAAGACTGTTTGCAAACAGCCTGCGAAGGGTTTAAAAAAAAAAAAGAAAACAGAAAAAAGCTTAGATTTGACTCCTATATTGCAGGAAAAAAGGAAGCCATTAGAGATTTTTATGAAATAGCAGTTGGAGACTGCAGGAGGCAGGAAGTACTACTCAAAAAATTTTTAAGGGCTAGCAAGATGGCATGTGTGTACACATGGGCACACACGCCTAAACAAATAAAACATTCAGTTAAATCTAGTTTCGGATCTTAGTTCTCTGTTATTAGTTGTGTAAGAATTTATCCGAAAGCTGTGGGCACTTCAAACATACTGTAGAAAATTAATAAGGAATATATGATTGTAGTAGGGTTAGTAGCTAAATATTAGGCATATGTATCATTTTCCACGTATCATTTCTAAGGTCTTTACGTGTGTGGGTTCATTTAATCCTCACAATAATCCCACAAGGAAGGAGGGCATTATCCCCATTACTTTTTAAAAGACTCCACACAGAGGTTAAACAGCTTCCCCAGCCAAGGTCACACAGCTATGAGGTAGAAGAGATGAAATTCCAAACAAGGAAATCTGGTTCCAGTCCTAAGTCCTCCACCAATATATTACCAGGCTTTTCTAGGAAAGACCAGGTTTTCAACCTCAAGTCGAGTTCTGGAACTTGTCCATCAAAATGCGATTATTCAACTCCATCATCCAGCCCTACTGACTTAGAAGCTGAGGTTTGAGTACTGGCGTCAGCCTTTAACAAGCCCCAAGGGAGCCTGCACGAAATAGAGACACTTCCTGACACAGGTAAAGCAAAACCCAAGGGAGAGTCCGGGTGGGGAAAAGCAAAGTAGGATGCAGAAAGGAATCTAAAAGGGATGAAATTATACGGTACAACACTGTGGTGCTAGGACCTCGGAAAGATCTCTCTGTATCTTTTTTTTTTCTATAAAGCACAAAAGCAGCCTGACAGTTTTCAACAAGGCTTTTCTACGAAACTTCAAAGCAAGTGTCAAGTTCCAAAAGTTCGTCTTTCATACACACGTACACGATGCAAAGCGGTGTAACTTCAGACGCGGCTCGTGAGAGCTACGTTCCTCATTAACGCTGAAAAGGAAAGCGCCAACAAAAACGCAGACCATCCAACTTCTGATGCACGCTCCGAAGTGACTCCATAATAACCCAACCGGCCAATGAAAGGCGAGGGCTGGGAAGGCAGCACCGAGGACCTAGGCGAACCTTATCCCCATTGTTTGCAAACTGAGACCCAGGAGTCGACACAGTTACCCAGCCCGTCGAAAAGAGCAAGGGGCTCAGGGGTTTTGCGGTATAGGAGCAAAGCCAAGCGTGAAAGGAACACGGCCCAGCCTTAAACACAAAGGATGCTCGGATTTCACTTTCAATCCCCACCAGGCACTTCAAAGACTGTCACTTCCCTGCGGTCCAGGGTGAGGACCAGCCGGGCACCCCGCCCGCACCACCTTTAATAAAGGGCGGCCTGGGACCAGGCTGCGCCCCAAGGCCCCGCGGACCCCCGCACGCAGGCTGCGCGGGACTATCAACCCGGCTGACCCGAGCCTCGGGCGGCGTCCGTCCGCGGCCGCTCCGGGCCGGCTGCAGGGCTCGGTCCGGCTGGACGAGCGCCTGCGCCCGCGTCCGCCCCCCGAGGGGCTCCACGAGCTCCGCCCCGCGCCTCCAGCCCCGCCGCCGGGCCCTGGGCCCCGCGTCCCTCCCCGCCCGCTGCTCACCAGGTGCGTGGAGCAGGAGTCGCACAGCAGCCGTCGCTCCCCGCGTCCGCCGTAGCGATTTAGTAATACGCCCACCCGGCGCAGCCCCATCCAACGGCTCGCGCGATTCAAATTCGCCCACTTCCGCTTATGGCCCGGAAGGCCCGCCCCTGGCCCCGCCCCGACTGGCCCAGGCCCCGCCCCGTCCGGCTGCGTCCTCCGAGCATCCACCACCGCTGCCTGCGTCCTCACCAGGCGGAACTTGCGGAGCGGCCTCCTGTGGGCCGGAGCTGCCGGAGTGCGTTCGCGTCTTCCCCCTCTCCCGGCGTAAACAACTGCGGAGTCGGAGGACAAAAACAACCCCCTCCCCGCCGGCTCTGCGGCTCTCCCACGCGTGTTCTGGGAGTCCAGCCTCGAGCACCAGTCAGACCTAATCCAGCCACAAACTGAAAGTGTTTATTTACCTCGTGTTGAATTAAACATGGGAGTAAATTAAACTTGAGAAATAAATACAAGGGAATCTCCCTCCCACGAAGGATCATTTTGCATCATAATTACCTATTGTCGTAGGAATTCAGTGCTGTCACTTGCCTTTAGGGGGGCCAGGAAGTGTCTTCCTACCCAAATGCTTCTGAATGCTTACATCTGGGAGCTTTAAGACGCTTCCAGGAAGGATTTTGCAGCCCCGCAGACAGGACACAATTGTGACCATTAGAGCTGGAATGAATAGATCAGTTCACACCTAATAGTATTGATTTAACGTTGATGCACCAGTACAGCCCCTCTTCATCTTCTACCAAAACACAATTTGAAAGATTTGCTGGATTTCTAGAATTTACCTTGCAGATAATCTGGTAGGAGGGAAAAAAGCTATTAATTGATATAATGTTTTAAATAGTGGAAAATAGGGAATGCACTCTACCCAGCAATAAGGAAATAGTTAAAATTATAGTAATATTTTAGGATTTGATAAATTGATGCATTCAGTTTTGAAATACTGAGAAAATTTTAGAAGAACCATACTGATAGAGTGTGTAAATTGCAGAAGAGCCATAAACTTCATTAAAGGAACTCATAAGACAAATTCCTCAAAGTAGTCAACTGGTCCTAAATTGGCAGGCAAGCCTTTTCAACTGGTCATAACCTGGACTGAGAGAGACTGTTTAAGGAGCCCACCATTTCTGCTTTAGTGCTGTAGGTAACCGGCCTCCCATGCCTGAAAAAAATCATCTTAGGAAGAAGACCCTCAGCCACTCAAGGAAAGTAGACCCTGGCACTGAGTCAACTCTTGCAAGTTGCAGCTGTGTTTGATAGTTCTCATAAAAACCTCAAGGTCCCTTGGCTAGTTTGTAGATGCTAGGTTTCCCTGTAGCCTCTACCCCTCACTCTGGCTTCTACTAAAAGAAGACATATTCCTAGCCTGTTGCAGGTCTAGCTCTGGTTCTTATTTTTTAACTTTCACCTTCCTATTTCTGCTCTCCTAAATCTAACACATACAGTGTTACCCTTCTTTTGAGTGTGTATGTATATGACAAATCAAAGTTTCAGGACAGAACCATAAACTCTAACCAGTTATCTCTGGAAGTGAAGTTAGTAAATAGGGAGAGTGGGAGAGAGGGCTTTTAAAAATCTTATAACCAGTTGAAATTTTAAACAAAATATTTTACGTTGGCAATTTTGTTTTTAAAGGAAGATTGTTAGAAATTGAATAATTCTGGATACAGAATGAGTTTTAATAAATGTATAAATCTGACTAGATTGCTTTCATTCAATTATCAATGATGTAAGAATTATACAATAATGAGTTAACCACACATTCTTTTTTTACATATTTATTACTTTAATTTTTATTTTGTGTGTATATTGCCTGCATGTTTGTAAATGTACCTATGTCATGCAGTGCCCATGGAGGTCAGAAGAGAGCGTCAGATTCCCCTGGAACTGGAGTTACAGATAGATTAACCGCTGAGCCATCTCTCTAGCCCCTTTTGTGTGTGTGTGTGTGTGTGTGTGTGTGTGTGTGTGTGTGTGTGTGTGTGTTTG